TAATTAATGGTGAAATCACTTCGCTAACAAGACTTAATAAGGCATTAACTTACTAACAATTCATTGAATAACACGATCCTTATGTTTAAATTGCTGTCAGATAGATTTGATGTTGTTAATCTGAATATTTTCGAATATTTCACATTTTCATCCTCAGGGCGTCATTTTTCCATTGCAGTTAAAATCCAAGACGAAATAAATGCAGTCTATATCGAAAGATTTTTTTTTTTTTTAAAATATGTTATTTATTGGCAGTTATATAATTTTGGAACTTACGTTGTCGCAACGTTAGAGTTATTGTTATGTCAAGTGAGAATTTTTGTTTGAATTTAGTAAGACATTTTATTTTATTATTTCGACTATCTATGTCACTTTAACAGAAAAAAATACATACAACAAAAAATTTCGTGGATTTACCACATTACTAAATTATATATATATATATATATATATATATATATATCGCAAATATTAATAGGCTCCTTGGAAAGTTAATTTCATTTTAAAATTGTCAGATATACTCAGAATAAGATTCGATACCATGTTTTCAGCCGATTTCTTTTAAGCAATAACAAGAGATTATTTTTAACGAATATACCCAAAATACGTTACGACGTCTAAGATACAAATTTTGCAAATGTTATAATTTAAACAGTATGGGAACATAACCTTTTTAACGGATACGCCCCAAATATGTGTCGAAGGTTAAAGTACTAAGTATTCGGGAGTTTTCTTTAAACAATAATGAGCCATCAAGTTAACAGGAAATTTATTCAAGAAACACTTTAGATTCTAACATACAAAGTATTGGGACGTTTATTTATTTATTTGGAATCATTTCACTCCAAGCAAGACAATAAAGCCACTAAGGGTCACTGAGTGCGAAAGAATAAGAAAAAGAAAAACATTATTAAGGAGCGAGAAAAATAAAAGAGGAGGATCCAAGAAGACAGATGATAACGATTGACATTGCATTTAATTTTTTGAAGGTCAAAGTTTCGTTAGACATTTGGAAATTGATCAGACAGAAAAATTTTCAGAAGCTGCTTGTATACTAAACTGCAATTTTCACATTTTTGGTAGGTTCTAGAGGAGTTTTTTTTAATTATTTATTGAGCGAGAGATCAACACGCCAAAGAAATGTAATATATCCATCATGACATAAAGTTTGATAAGCCAAATGGGGACGATATGCTAACAGGTTCTTAAAAGAACAGCACGGCGTATTTGAATAGCAAAAGATCCCTTCAAAAAGCTAAGATATAGAAAAACCACGCTAGAAAAAAAAATACTAAACTGTTACGCGATATCTAACCTCCTGTATGGCAATGGACGCTGGATAATCTAATCAAATATGAAGAAGAGACTTGAAGCAAAAGAAATGTGGCTATACAGAAAGATGATGACATCTTTCACATTACATTCATTAGAAATTATTCTTATTTTCACGTTTGGATACTGAACTGGGTAGGTATGAAACATCTCGGAAGATCTATGAATAGAGATGTTTCAGTCAAATGTACAAATTCGAACGACCTGGACTGATTGGTTCTTTACAGCTCAGTTGGTCAGAGCATACTGGTATTGGTAGCTTCCTCTGCTCAGAGGGACGCAGTTTCAAATCCAGCCAGAGAGCATACACTTATCTAGAATAAGATTTCTCGAACATTGAGGGCGGCTGACGAATATAAATAAATATGCTGTTTAATAAATAAGCAGATGGTCTACTCAAATACGAGTATACACTAAAAATAACGGTTAAAGTAATATATATATATATATATATATATATATATATATATATATGAAAATAAAGATCTTGAAAATGAAACAGTATTAGGGATTTTAATTTAATTCTATAATTAAATTTGAAAATTTTAGTTTCTGTTTTTGAAATAAGGTAATTCCTGTGTAGTGAAGGAACCATATTTTTAAATTAGTAAATTTATAATATATATATATATATATATATATATATATATATATACAAAGGCAAAAAAAGTATGTTTATTCATATTGCCCTTTTACAGATATATTTTATTTTTACTTATATATATATATATATATATATATATATATATGAAATTTTATATATATCTTATTATAAATTTTATATAATATATATATATATATATATATATATATATATATATATATATATATATATATATATATATGAAACTTTATATATATAATAAATGGGCCGTCTATTTCAAATACGAATATCTAATATAATAACGTTTGTAGTAATAAAATGATGGATTAAAAATATATCCAGTAATTCTTTAGAAATATATATATCTACACACACACACACACACACACATACACACACACACAAACACAAACACACATATATATATATATATATATATATATTGTTAGAGATATATTTGATATATATTGTCTTTCCTGGAGACATGGTGCTGGAGGGATTTTATTGATTTATTTTTGAATTCCTTTCGTTATCAGACCCAAAGCTCCAACTAAGGTAGGTAATCTGCTGTTTTGCAATGTCCCCCTTAGCTTCAGTATGTCCTCTGAGTATCAATCCCTCTTTCCTCATTATGTTCCCTAGAAATTTAAACTATCTTTATCTGCTGTTAAGTATTAAGTGTCATATTTGTTTCCATTTTCACTTAAATTTTCGACGTTGCTCACATGTTCGGTCCATGGTATCCTCAACATCTTTCTATAGAATCACATTTCTGTTGCATTTTCTTTTCGTCATCTGTGAGGAAATTGTCTAGCATTCACTGTCATATACAAGGACCAGAATTACATAATAATTCAGTACTTCCTTCTTAATGAAATTTTTCCTGTTTCTTAATGATTTTCTTAGCTTTTGAAAGGCATCTTTTGCTATAACAATGCAACTTCAGATTTCAATGTCGCACTTTCCGTCCTCTGTTACAGGATATCACATATATTTAAATTATTGCACTTGTAATCTGCATTTTGAGCTGTTAGCTGACAACAATGCATTCTGTTTTCTTGCAGTTAATGTTTAGTCCTTTCTTCTCGCTTTCCTTCACTATCTTCTTGTAGATTTATTTCTGTGTCTGCTATCAAAACTGTATCATCTACATACCTTATGTTGGAATATTGTGGCCGACAATGATGAATTCTGGTGGGATTTCCCATTCTCTCAGAATCGCCTCACCGTATTGGTAGAATAAGTCCGACGGGAAGAGACGCACTTTCCTAATACCCCTTTTTATTTTTGCATATTTACTGTTACATTTGTTTCTTCTTCATTTTTATATGCCGGGTCCCTTCAAGACACAAACGATCATGGCCCTCCACATCTTTTGTAATTCTTAATAAGTTTTGTCTTTTTGTTATTTCTTCCAAACTTTGTTCTACCATCCTGTTATGGTGAAACACACCTATTCTATAGTTAATAGGCTCTCCCACCTAATATAAGTAGGAGTAGTAAGAGAGACGAGGGTCAGTCGATGTCGGGCGTCCGGCTGAACGGTTGAACTCTCTGCCTTCGGGCGGGGAGGAATCCGAACGAGGCTATGCCGAAGGGCGGAGTCTCGTTCGGGGAGGTAAACCGACCCTGAACACGTACATACGGGTTCAAAGGGTATATTTTTGGCCGAGACCACGGGCTCGGAGATCCCACGTTAAACCGGCCTTATGCCACATAATACCCTCGTGGGGGGGGTGACTAAATACTAGTCGATGTCGGACGACAATCGAACTCTCTTAAATTTTAAGGCAGAGAGGAACCCTGACGAGGCTATGCCGAAGGGCAGAGTTTCGTCCGGGGAGGTAAACAGACCCGATCCCGTTTATGCAGGGGTCTACGGGGATTTTTTGGCCGAGCCTACGGGCTCGGGAACCCCCATTAAATTCGGCCTTGTCCACATGTGACTGCGAAAGTAAAGTTACTAAATAGCGTCGATGTTGAACTATTTAGGACCGATTTAGTTCAAATACAAGCCTCCACTGCGAAATAACTCCACAACACATCCATTTACTCAAGCTCGTCAATTATGCTACGCGCTGATTTCTTCTGCCACCTCTTTCCCTAATCTTTCCTGTGGGTATCATATTTTCCAAACCCTCTTTCCTCATTACATATCCCAGAAATTTGAGTTGCCTCTTCCAGATGTTAAGGTTATTTTCTAAGCGTAGCTTAGATGTGGCACAAGACCGAAAGTTTGGAGCACCTAGTGAGTATCGAACTCACTTTTCAGTCGTAACTGATCTAGCAAGACAAGCTTGCTAACCATTACACCACGCCGAGGTGCGGCTTCCAGATGTTAAGTATAAGTTTCCTAGTTGCCCACATGATCGGTCCATGGCATCCTCAGCATCCTTCTGTAGAACCACATCTCTGTTGTTTCAACTCTCTTCTTCATCTTTGAGGACATTGTCCAGCACTTACTGTCATATCGGAGGAATGATATCACGTGTTTTTCCTTAGTTTTTCAAAAACATTCTCAGAGATGATTTTTCACTTGGCACGCTGATATCAAATATCATTATTATTATTATTATTATTATTATGGAGAGGAGAAGGAAAGGGAGGGGGGATAAAAGGGTAAGTAAATCGTAGTCATTATTTGTGTCATCTTTTATCTGGGATGCTTATCGGCCATCATCCACTTTTGATAATAATTAATAATTTCTTAACAGTCGACGATGAAAATGTGCCTTTCATTTAGAAAGCTACCGATATCTGTTTTTTCATCGCCCAACTAAATTTGTTTGCCAGTCAAAAATTGATTATTTAAAAGCATTTTAAAGATATTCTTTTTTATCCTCTGTGAACAATTATCCTGGATAATTACTAGAAATCAATAATCGGATAAAAAAAAAAGAGTCACATATAGACAATAGAAAAAAAAAGAGGGGAGATAGATAGAAAGAAAGAAATCGACTGAAAGAGAGAGGGTGGGAGAGAGAGAAAGACTGAGATAGTAACAAACATTGAGAGAGCGGGAGAAAAACGCTTAGTGCAAAAGAGAGAGAAACGACTAAGTGGATTAGATAGATAGATAGATAGATAGATAGATAGATAGATAGATAGATAGATAGATAGATAGGAACAGACTGCATGTAAGTGAGAGAGAAAGCGACAGACTAAGATAGATAGATAGATAGATAGATAATGCGCAAAGTGAAAAAGAAAGAAAGAAAGAAAGAAAGAAATAAAGAAAGAGACCAAGTGTACATAAGACAGTCAGATAGAGAGAGAAAGAGGGAGAGAGAGAAAGGGACAGACTGAGATAGATAGATAGATAGATAGATAGATAGATAGATAGATAGATAGATAGATAGATATGAACAGACTGACATACATACATAGATAGATAGAAAGAAAGAAAGAAAGAAAGAGACTGAGTGTACATAAGACAGTGAGATAGAAAGAGAAAAAGAAAGGGACAGACTGAGATTGATAGAACGATTGATCGATCGATAGATAGATAATGAGCATAGTAAAATAGAAAGAAAGAAAGAGACAGTGTGTGTAAGAGAGAGAGAGAAAGGGACAGACTTAGATAGATAGATAGATAGATAGATAGATAGATAGATAGATAGATAGATAAGAAAATACCGAGAAATATGTAAAGAATGAAACGGAGAAAGATTGGGTTGATTGATTTTGCATCATCCTTTTTTATTAAATATCGGAATTTCTATTGATCACGCAGTGTGAAGCGAAATTACAGTTCAGTAGTAGTGGCCAACCAGACAATTTTTTCTAAGAATTACTTCATGCTGAGACACCATTAGATGGAAATGGCGGAATAAATAGACATATATATATATATATATATATATATATATATATATATATATATATATATATATATTGTATATTACCAAAGCAATACTTCCTTTATCTCCTTCCTTAAGCAATCCTTCCTTATCCAGACGTCTTACGTTACACCTATCTGATCACAGCTCCATTAGAACCCATTTAAACACACACACACACACACAAATTTACCAGACTCCATTAGAAACATACTAGTAGAAAACACAAATATATTAACTGCATCCACCTGTAAAAAAGACTAAAATAATAATAAAAAAAGAAAAAGCCAACTCTTAACATTATTAATTACGAACAAAGCCACAATGTGTTAACCGTATTCGGAAATTAAAAACATCCCTAACACACACTAAGATATACACATAACGCACACACTCAATTAAGCTGAAAAATCTATTCATCCTTGATAATGGCTAAAGGTATAGCCGAAAGCGCTCGGAAATATAAGACATTTGTACAGTTCTTTCACACCCTTTGTCCAGAAAAGAAAGCTCTTGTTCGAACACAAGAAAAATTAAATAAAAAGTTTAACCGTAGTACCTTGTCTGTCGTTTTTAATGAAACATACATACATATATATATATATATATATATATATATATATATATATATATATATATATATATATATAATAATAATAAATATTGGTAATTTTATGTAATTTCCAAGAGGATATAGATCCGTTGAGAGCTCTATGTCAAAGACAGAGCAATAATTATTATATAATGACCTATCGGCTTCAACGAAATTTATATAACCTATGATATTTAATTGTTTGTTTTTCATTTTATGTTATATATATATATATATATATATATATATAGAGAGAGAGAGAGAAAGGGGGAGGGAGAGAGAGAGAAAAGAAAGAGAGAGAGGGAGAGAGAAAGAGAGGGATATGAGCAAACAGACATAGATAGATAGATAGATAGATAGATAGATAGATAGATAGATAGATAGATAGAATAGATAATTCTTAGAATAGATAGATAGATAGATAGATAGATAGATAGATAGATAGATAGATAGATAGATAGATAGATAGATCTGAATGGACAACGATAGATGGATAACAAGTTAAATATGGAAATACCTGTAAAGCATTGTTTTTTCTTTATTTTTCCCTAATCCATAAAAATTGAAACAAATACACTTATGCTTTGTGTGTGATTTACCCACCCAAAAATGACCCACCCAAAAATGACCCCCAAAAATGACCCACAACAAAAATGACCCTCATTTGACATGCGATAGTGTCATCATAAAATATTAACGGTGCATAATCAAATTATAATAATAGGAAACATCAAAACTTCAACCACGTGTTACCTGGACAAGCATTTATAGGAAGGGTGTGCAACAGTCACGTCGCGGGCGACATTGTTCCCTGCCTGGAAGCAAGAAAAGCTGTGACCCCTGACTTCATTTGTACAAAAATGTTACAAATATTCAAAAACTGACAGAAGAATTCGCCAACAGGTTTGTGGATTACAGAAAATATGAAAAGGTGTTAAAACTCTTTGCTCAACCATTTTAAATGAAGCTTATTGATTTATACAGTGTAACCCGGATATAAGAGAGTTGTCGGGACCGGAAAAGAAGTCTCTTATATCCGGGTTTCTCTTATATCTGGGTTTGGTCTATTTTATATACATTAACACAGGCTCTAATTTGGGACCAGAGAAAATCTCTTATATCCGGGTTTTCTTATATCCGGGTTTTTGGTCTATTTTATATACATTAACACAGGCTCTAATTTGGGACCAGAGAAAATCTATCTTATATCCGGGTTTCTCTTATATCCGGGGTTTGGTCTATTTTATATACATTAACACAGGCTCTAATTTGGGACCAGAGAAAATCTCTCTTATATCCGGCTTACACTGTAGTCAGATGGTGACATTTTATTCAAAGTATCTAAGGTGGAATATACACAAATTTGACACAAGATGCCATTAAAATGATCTCTCATTTTGGGAGAATATACTGCTGTGAACTTCTTTTTTTTTTCAAGGGGGAAACTTCCAAAAGCCAATTGCCGAAGTCAGCTAACTGATGATAATGTGTCGTGTCAACTTACGTGTTCTCACTACATCTGCAGAAGATGACATTGAAAATTGTGCAAAGACAGAAAATATCAATTGTCACATTAAAAAAAATATGTATTCTCTGGCTTATTTATTTAATAAAAATGTGAAAATCTGTTCATACAAGTTTTTGTTACAATCAGTCTTTGTACGTTTGTTCTATCGAAAAATGACTTAATTTTAGAGATGACCGGCCCTCTTTGTCACTTAAATTTTTGAAAGTAGCCCTCCAAGAAAATATATTCAACAACCCTTATTTATAGTTTAGCCATTAAAGGATCTTGTAACACTCTAACATGTGTTAATCCCGAAGTTATTATTCGGTGTAATTTAATAAAAAGAAAAACGGTTGTAATTTTTGTCTGAGACTTCTGAGACTGACATGTATTGATTGATTTGTTGTTTTTTTTTGTTTTTTTTTTATTTTGTTTTTTTTTAATATTCAACCAACCGTTTGACGGATATTTAAGGAGAGAAAATAATTTTAGGTTAAAATAATTTTGGGGGGATAATATTTTACCGATACAGTTCTACTAATTAACCGATAGCTGGGGGAGAAAAAAGGTGGATTCATATCTTTCCCAGGGATATTTGCGCGTAGATGAATAAAACGAACCCGACTCGAAGTGGATATCGGCTCCCCAAGTCGTTATCCATTACACCACCTGCACGTCCAAGCACCTGGTAATCCCAAGCGGTCATCTCATATTGAAAGCCGGCTCTCCTATTTTCAATTCCGAGTCGTCATCAATTACACCAACCGCACTTACAGAACCTAGTATTCCCAAGCGGTCACCCATCTAAACACTGACCAGGCTCGACTTTCCTTAACTACAGTGATCATATGGGAACAAGTGTTTCAACTTAAATTGGCTGTACGCATAAACATGCTTATGGATAATGATATATAAACTTCTAAATGTGATATCTAAACATATATATATATATATGTGTGTGTGTGTGTAACGAACCCGACTCATATTGAAACTCCTATTTCCGATTCCCAGACGTTATCGATTACACCACACGAACTTCCAGGCTGACAGAACCTGGTATTTCCAAGCGGTCACCCATCTAGGTAGTGGCCAAGTCCGACATGGCTTAACTACGATGATCGTATTAGAACCGGTGTTTCAATGTGAAATGGCGACTGACGTGTGATGAACTTCTTTGACTTTATGTGCCGTGTCTCTTCAGGATAAGCGATCATGGCTTCCATCACCTCCTCTCACATGTAGCACTTAATAAGTTTTGTCTTTGTTCTTTTACCCAGACCCTGTTCTGCCACCCATTTGTCAAAGCCCATTAAGTATGTCACGTGTTGCTTTCCCTCTTTCCGTCCTGTGAGTATCAGATTTTCCAAGCCCTTCTTCCTCATTACGTGTCCCAGAAATTTCAGCTGCCACTTCCTGATGTTAAGTATAAGTTTCCTCTTTGTTTCTGTTCTCTCCAAAGCCTTGTCCTTGCTCGAAAAATTACGTTGGAATAAGCATTTTATCTTGAAATTTTAAAAATGTTGGCTTCTTGCTATCTTTCCTGTTCTGTCAACCATTTACAAAAGTGTTGTGGGGGACCTACCTACAAATGGACTCTTCCACACCTATATAATATAGCTACCAACTCTGAGTAGAGGAAGTCATCGAGTGAGAGTCATCGTGTAGAGACACCGAGTGAGTGAGTGAGTGAGTGAGTGAGTGAGAACACTAGTGAGAGAAAGTACTCTCCAGTCCACATTTACCTTTGTACTACGTTTCCGAGAATATATTATTTAACCTTATATCCGAGTCCGTGTTATCTTTCTATGGTTCTACACCATAACAAAAAGTTAGTTCTTTTTTGTTGTTGTTGTTGTTATTGTTGTTGTACGTGGCGTTTCCTTTCAGGACGTGGGCGATCATGGCTTTCCACAGTTTCCAGTCATTTGTAGCTCTTACTAAATGCCTTTTACTATCTCTTCTAATCCTTGTTCTGTCAATCATTTACATAAGCTCATTTTATTTCTTTCTCCATGTACCGTCTCCTTTCAGGACGTGAGCGATCATGGCTCTCCACAATTTCCTGTTATTTTGTTAGTAAATGTTATCTTTCTGTTATCTCTCCTAGACTCTGTTCTGTCATCCATTTACAAAAGCTCGTTAGGTTGGTTATGATTTTTTTTTCTGTCCTTCTTGCCTTCAACAAATATATGTGATGTGAAATTTTATATATCTTTCCTCATTTTATACCTCAGAAATAGACCTGCCCTTTCTGTCGTTTTTTATAAGTCTCTTTTTGTTTTTATTTTTTCTAAATATTCATCGTTGCTCACCTGTTCAGCCTTTTCAATTGTCATCATTACGACTTAGTCCTTTTCAACAAACTTTAATCTTCAAAAATTCAAATGCAATGTAAATCGTTATCGTTTCCTTTTGCTTACTCTTTTCTGTTTATTCCTCCGTAATGTGTTTGTGCCACAGTGTTAACACTTTTATCATTTTTTATTGTTCGGAGAAACTCTTTTATTGAATATTATGCCATATATGATCTGGTGTTCCTACTATATATTTAGAGATTCTTGATAAAATCTAAAGAAAAATCAAATTATTGGTCTTTTATGTGGTTGTTTTAAACACTTTCCCACCGTTTTTTTAATGTAGCGATTCTGTGCCTTTAAAAAATACTTTTATGTTAATTGTTCGGAGAAATAGGTTGGTATTGTTCTCAGACGTTACGAATTTAATCAACTGTCACAAGTTCAGTAAATTTTGATGCAGATGTTAATTGTTCTTTATGTAGATAATTTTTTGTTGACGAAATGATTCAAATTTTGGTTTTTTTTGCAAATGGAATTTAATCTTCCTCTTCCCGAATTAAGTATATGTTTTTTTTTTTGGTTCATTCTCTCTTTAATTGAGAATTGCTCTAAACGACTTTAGAATAAATATTTGATCTAAAAAATTAAAAATAAAAATGTTCTTCAGATATCTCTTAAACCCTGTTCTGATCCGTTTACATTAAAAATAATTCGTTAGCAATGGGTTATGATTTTCTTGCGTGTTCTCTTATAACTTTATTCTCTTTTGGGTGTCAATTTAAGATTATAGATTTTGCAATGTAACTGGTTCAATTTAGAAATGAATTCGTGATGTTTCTTTTCAGACTTCAGGCTCTATACGAATATATATTTCCTTCACGACGTTGACGATCATGTCTTTTGAAATTTCCTGTCATTTGCAGCTCTTAGTAAATTTCAGCTGCTTCTTCTGATGCGCTCTTAGTTTTCTTTGTTTCCATTCTCTCCAAAACCTCATCATTGTAAAGTTACGTTAGAATAAATATTTTATCTCGAAATTTAAAAATGTTTTTTCGCTATCTTGTAAACCCTGAAAATTGTCATCCGTTTACAAAAGATCGTTAAATAGGTTATGATTTGTTTTTGTCTGTCCTTCTTGCTTTCAATAAGTCTTGTGGGTGTCAAATTTAAGCGCATTACTAGATTGGCAATGAGACTTCATCAATTTAGAAATGAATTGGCTAGATGTAACTGTAAGCTCTATACGCCATATTCCTTCAATGATTTTGACGATCACGACAATTTCTATCATTGCTGCTTTTCACTTTTTTCATGTCTCCTGAGGAACATCAAGTTTTTCTCTTTGCGTCGTCATTTTCATCATTGCTCTAAAGACTGTTTTAGAAGAATAAATATTTTAGATGAAATTTTGTCTCTAGTTATCTGCCATCCATAAACCCTGTTCTGTCATGAATTTACAAAAAGTTCCTTTAAATAGGTTATGAAGGATATTTTGCTGTCCTTCTTGCTTTTAAGTCCTGTCCGCATTACTAGATTGGCAATGAGACTTATCAATTTAGATCCAAATGAATTGGCTAGATGTAATATGCTCGCCATATTCCTTCACGACGTTGACCATGTCTCCTGAAATTTCCTTCAAAATCAAAGCCGTGTTATCTCTCTTAAAACACCTGTTCTGTCTTCATTTTACAAAATATTTTAAGGTAGTTGGCTTTCCCGCTTTCTGTAAACATTTTCTTCAATTATCCTCTGAATCCAAATTTTCTAAAGTTCTTTTTCCCTCAATTATGTGAAAATTTAAGTCTCAATTTTTGATTTAAATTGTCCTATTTGTTTTCTTTTTCATCTAAATTTTTCTCGTGGCTCACATGTTCAGCCCATGATATTAGCAGCACCCTAATTTTGGTATTAGAAGCACCCTTCTCTAGCTTAAGTAAAGACTCTCAGTTTTTCTTACGAGACGCTATAAAAATGTTATATGGAAAACTTAAGATAAATAAGCGGATTGTTTCGAAATGTTCAATAAAACGAAAGAACCCGAAATGCCACTTACAGGTCAGGGACACTACACTCAAGCAGGTGCAGAAATTTAAATATCTGGCAAGTGTTTTGACAGAGGCCGCTAAGTGCGTCGCTAAGATCCGAAGACGTATTGGAATGGCCAAAGACGCATTCCAAAAGACAGGCAGAGTGTTACAAAACAAACGTTTAAACAAAGAAAAGAGTATTGATTGCTACGTGATATCTGTCCTCCTTTACGGCAGCGAATGTTGGACGGTCTTCCTCAATTTTTGAAGAAGAGACTTTGATTTTTTAGGAATGGTTATACAGAAGGATGTTGAAATAACAGTTTTTTTGGCATGTGAGCAACGATGAGGTTTTGGAGAGTAGGCAAACATAGAGGTAGCTTATACTTGACATCAGGAAGCGGCAGCTGAAATTTATGCGACACGTAGTGAGAAAGAAGGGCTTGGAGAATCTGATACTCATGGTTCATATGTTCAGCCCATGGTATTAGCAGCACCCTAATTTTGGTATTAGCAGCACCCTTCTGTAACTCAAGTAAAGTCTCTCAGTTTTTCCTACGAGACGCTATAAAAATGTTATATGGAAAACTTAACAAAATAAATAAGCAGATTGTTTCGAAATGCGAAATAAAACGAAAGAACCCGAAATACGACTTACAGATCGGAAACACTAAAATCAAGCAGGTGTGGAAATTTAAATATCCGGCAAGTGTTTTAACAGAGGACGCTAAGTGCGTCGCTGAGATCCGAAGATGTATTGGAATGGCCAAAGACGCATTCAAAAAATTTAGCAACGTATTTTATAACAGGACGGTTTCATTTGGTTACAAAAGAAAAGAGATCTGAACATTACCATGATATTTGTATTTTAAGGCAGCAAATGTTTTTACAGAAGGATCTTAAGGATACCATGGACCGAACATGTGAGCAACGAAGTGGTTTTGGAGAAGATGCAAACAAAGAGGAAACTTATACTTAACATTTTTCTTTGGACGGGATTTGAAATTTTGGGAAATATTATGAGAAAGGAAATTTTTGGAAAATCTGATCCACAGGGCGATAGCCCTGTATTTGGACAATTGTTTGTCCAATGACATTTTAGCGGGCCGATTAAGCAAGTGGATGACTTTGAAAATTTGCCATGATCGACTATACACCTGGAATAAAAAACGACACATAAAATAAGAAGAATTTATAAGATTGCGTAAGAAAAAAAGTTTATCTATTTGGGAAAAGACCTCAACTTAAAGATTCATATATATTCGATCTAACGTTGCTGAAAAAATGTTTACTGAACTTTTTGCGTGGTATCAATCCTCCTTTACGGCAGCGAATTTAGATGGTCTCCTCAAAGATAAAGAAGAGACTCGAGGCAACGATATAATATATATATAAATATATATATATATATATATATATATATATATACCGTAAAGTCCTGAGTATGACGATAAACTACATCCAGACAGAAGGCCTCTGATCGAGAGATTGCATTTTTCGAGGAGAGTGGAAACACTGTATAATTTCTGTTGTTGGCCATACCCAGGGTGATAACACCTGTTAGGGTCCCAGCTATGGGCAAAAACCCACTGTTGAGGGATCCACCCCTTTTTATACAAATGAACTCACCCAGTATATACATATACTACTGTAAGACAGGGCAAGACCGAGGAGTCGAGTCGAGTCCACAGTGACAGAATAAAAAGTTGTAGGTAAACGGAAGAGTGAGGGGTGAGGTAACAGCGTTGTCGGATTCACAGTGAGCGAGCACGTAGACTCAGTAAGAAGTCATACAGCGATATTTCAATACCAAAGACTGT